GTAGGGCCCACACTGTGCTCACCTCTGCCTATCCTCTCTGCTGGGCACATAGTAGGGCTCACACTGTGCTCACCTCTGCCTATCCTCTCTGCTGGGCACATAGTAGGGCTCACACTGTGCTCACCTCTGCCTATCCTCTCTGCTGGGCACATAGTAGGGCTCACACTGTGCTCACCTCTGCCTATCCTCTCTGCTGGGCACATAGTAGGGCTCACACTGTGCTCACCTCTGCCTATCCTCTCTGCTGGGCACATAGTAGGGACTCACTTAATGGCCCCCTATGAAGGCCTGGAAGGACACAGCATGTGGCATGGGCAGGCAGGGCTGGGGTGCTCAGAGGAAGGGAGAGTCCCTGGGCGGGGCGGGGCTGGGCTGGGGACTTCCTGGAGGAAACGTCTGGGAGGATCCTCCATGTCAGTTCTATGACAGAAACTGAGGACAGGCCACAGGAAGTCCCCAGCCCAGCCCGGGGGGAGCATCAGAGCAAACCACCAGAGAGGCACCAGGAGATGCCGTGGCCAGGACCCAGGATAAGACGCTGGAGGGGCTGGCGGTGTATTCCAGGAAGGCTTCCTGGAGGAGGAGCTGCTTCTGGCTGTTTTGTGGCAGGGAAGAACATGGAGATGAATCGGGTTGGAGAAAGTGGAGAAAGACAGCGATGTGGGAGGGAAAGCTCTGTCCCTGTCTGTCCTTTATCCCTGAGAGAAGAGGGGGGTGGATGATCAGGAGGCGTGAAGGCCACGGCGATGGGAGATAACATCAATACCAGCACCACGGCCAGGGCGGGCAGGGCTGGCTGGGGCTGGCAGGGAGCAGGTCCCCAGCTGTGGCTGGGCAGCATTTCCTGTCTCCCAGCCAGAGGGGTCATTAATAATCATTTACCCACCGCAGGCATCACGGTGGCCAGCCAGGGAGCAGCGGGGTGCTGGGGCCGGAGCCCAGCCTGACGGCCAGGAGAGCTCTATTCTGGGACTGGCCCTGCCACCTCGCTGTGAAACTGGGCACGTTACCTGACGCCTCTTGGCCTCTGGTGATGCTGGTGAAAGGGGGACCTCGAGAGGAGGCTGCCTAAAGTCCCTGCCCTCTGCTTGGGCCTCGGTTTCCCTAGATGGCAATTGGGGACCATACAGAGGGTTACAACACCTGCTGACTGACATGAGCGTCTGGACTATGGCCAGCCCAGCTCAGGAACCCCGGGATGGGCAGTTGTGGGGAGGCACGGACGGAAGGGCCACCTGCCCGGGGCTGACAGGGGGGCTGGGCCAGGAAGACAGGGTTCCTCAGACACAGAAGGTGGGAGCCCGATGAGGCCTGCTTGGTCACCGCTTAGCACTGACCTTAGCACTTAAAACTGAGCCTGCCTGGTGCCTGGCAGGTGCCCGGGAAATGCTTTCAGACGACTGAATGCGTTAATCTGCTAAGTGAAAAGCTGGTGAAAGGAGCTTGGAATTTGGAAAGAGCGACCTGAAACATGACGATGACTCAGGCAAGAGACAGTGGGGTGGGCAGGAAGCTCGGATGTGGAAGCTTGAGGAGGATGGTGGCCGTCCAAAGCCGTACAGTATCGCTGGGGAAGGATCCGCGGCCTTCAAGATCCCCCTTTCCAGCTGGGCCAGAATCTTCCTCAGCCTCAACCACATTTCTCTGTTCACCCAACACCGCCTTCAAGGCCCAGCTCAAGCCCACTCACTTCAGAGAACCTTCTGGAATGTGAGGCTGAGGCATTGGCCCCCAGCCCCTTCCCCTGACTAACTCTGGCAGTCTCTGTGCCTTCCGACCATAAGTCCTGTCCTCCACGGCCTCCCATACCTGCCGGCAGGCTGGCCAGCAGTGTTTCCTCGCAGTTTTCTCTGGAGGGTCCGACCTGCATCTTCCTACTGACAGGATCTCCCCCATTAGACGAGAGGGTCCCCAGTGGAATGACAAGGCCTCCTTTTTCAGATAAGGGTTTCTGTGGGGACAGGGACTACTGCCCCCAGCAGATGTAAATCAGCAAAGGTGGAGACAACCAAGGTCTGCCTGGTTGTCTCCCAGCCCGGGGGCCTTCCCTGGGGCCACACAAGGAAGGGAAGAGGATAGGCCAGCAGAAGGGGGCACTTGCTGCTCAGCACCCTGGAGGGGGCAGGAGCCAGGGAGGGCACTGGGCCACCCAGGGGACGAAGACCTCCTGGTTGGCAAACTCGCCCAACTCCCGGCCGGGCCCGAGGTGCTCTGGCACCAGGGACGTGCCATCCGGTCACCACCCAGGCGTCACGGCCCGGCCGGTCTGCTCTCCGCGGAGACTGCGAGGTGGCAGTAAACACAGTGACCCTGCGACACGTGCATCCTCTCCCCACCCTCCTCCGAAGCCCGGCCCAGCACACGAGACAGGCTCAGAGGAAGAGAACAAAGGTTCCCGGGCCGCGACAGCGCCCGCCGCCTGCCTGTCCAGCGCCTGCTCAGCCGGAAACCCAAGACAAAGGCCTTGGTCAAAGCGAGGGGGATGAAGGGCAAAGGGTAGGCGCAGCCTGGCCCGAGGGGGCCGGGAGAGAACGTCACCAGGCATCTCTGGGGACCTGATCGGGAGGAAAGCAAGGACAGGATGGCAGCCGAGCCCTCCCTGCGCACATGTCACTCCACAAGCCTGAGGGGACACCTGCCGGATCCCGCACACCCCAAACGTTGCCTGCCTCGTCTCTCATCCCCCACACCTCACACCCACACACACACACTCTCTTACCCCCCGCGGGACGTTCCAAGGCCCGCCCACCCCACACACCCCTTAACCTCCTTGATACCCCTCCCATACGCCTCTCCACGCACATAAACGGCTCACAGGGAGAAAAGATCACACAACCCACACGTCACACCGAGAGGTCACAGAGCTCACACACCCACACTTCACACCACACTCACACTCAGCCTCCCACCATGCACCTCACCCCCACACACACTCACCTCCCCAACCATGGACAGACATCCAATTAAATTCAACACACACACCACCCAGACAGAGAGACACGCCCTGCATAGATAATGTGCACACCTAATGTCACACCAAGATGTCACATTTGTGGCCACACACAGCCCCTCAGCATAGACAATCCTGCCTGCACACTGCCTCCCCACTATATGCACGCGTGCGCATGTGCGTGCGCGCACACACACTCACACACAGCCTTGAATCCCTCAGCCCTAGCTGCTGCATTCTTTCCCACCCAGAGTTGCTCCCACAGATACATGACCCTCAAACACCAACAGGCAGGTCCTAATCTATTTCCCAAGCAAGCCTAGGCTGTACATAGTGACTCTAAGCCAATCACCCAGGCTGCAAACACACACACACACACACACACACACACACACACACACACACAGCTCCCCCCATGCCATCCCCTCTGCATTCATGAAACCTTTCCTCAGGCCCCTACCGTGGCCCTTCCTGGCAACACACAGCAACCAACAACATAGACAATCACACATGCAATGCCCCATGCAAGCTGCCCCTACAACTCCTCCCGCGTTGACAGACACATAGCCACACACACAGACGTTCCCTGCACACGTAACAGTCATGTATACAGCTGCCTGCCACTCCTACCCCCAGTGCAGCCTCCTTCCTAGCCACACAGCTTGCCGGACACAATCCTCACACTCACCCTGAGCCCCCGAGAGCCCCTCCAAACAACCCCACTCACGAAGACACACACAATACTGCATGACACAACACACATGATCAAACACAAGGCACACCCAACATATGCAAGTCAGCCTGCCCTACACACACACACACACCCCCACACACCCAGCCTGGGTGCCCCCCACCACAGGTGACGGGCACCAGATGGCAGTCCATCCCACAGCCCCAGCTGTCCCCACTCAAGACCAGGACAGCGGGGACGGGGGGGGGGGTTATAAGTTATAAACCGGCACCCCATCGCACCACCCCCACCCACCTTAGATCCCTGGGCCCCGTCCAAGGACCACACATTCCATGTTTACTCCCCCCCACCAGTGCCCACACCACGTCATGCCTGGCAACATGGGAGAGGTGGAGGTCCTGGGGAAGCCAGCCCAGCACTCTGAGCCTCCCCTCCTCGCCCCACAGCAGAGGCAGGGATAAGGGGTGGCCACAGGGAAAGACCCCAGGACAAAGAGAGAGACCTAGGGAAATTGGGGGAAGGGGGGTCGAGGACAGACCAAGAGAGGTGGGCACATGGGCAAAGAGGCCAAACCCGAAAGAGACAGAGAAGCCCAGATAGACCCGGAGAAGCTGGAAGAGAGAACAGAGGATAAAGTGGGACCACCACACTCAGAAATAAACAAGAGGAGAGGGGGAGACAGCCGGGAAGAGAGTAAAAGACCTTATATAGGGGGAGGGGGGAGGAGAAACAGCAGGAGCAGGGGAGGAGGAGGAGGAGGAGGAGGAAGGAACGTGCTGGGAGAAGGAGGCCCTGGGACCCTGGAGTAGGGTCCCAGGTGAGGACCCAAGTCCAGATGTTTGAGTGGGAACCTGGGTGCGGGCACAGGTGAGGCGGTGGAGTGGGGGTGCAGGGGCTTGGAGTGAGGCCCCCGCCCGGAGTTGGGGTCCTGCCTGAGGGCTGCGGGCTCAGGTGCGCTGGCTGTGCCCGGAGTCTGACACACATGGCAGCGGTTTGGGGGTTTAGGGGTTTGGGGGTTGGGGCAGGGCTCCTCCGCTCCTCTGGGAGGGAGGCAGGTGGTTCTGGACTCGAGCAGAGCCTTCGGGGTGGACTTGGGGTCCCACCGAGTACGGGGAGTTCGGTGCTTGGACGCAGTCTGGATCCCAAAGGGGCTCAGAGTCCGGGGTGAGGTTTGGGCTGAGAGCGGGGGCTTCCCGGGCTCCGGGATGGGCTGCAGGCAGCGCGGGAGTGGGATTCAGCCGAGGGCAGGGTGTTCCCCCCGCGGAGGGCTGGGGCTGGCGGCCGAGCGCTCCGGGAGGACCGGCCGGGCGCTGACCGGCCCCGCGGCTCCTCGTGCCGGCGCGGGCGGAGGGCCCCTACCTGCAGGCTGTCGGCGCATGGCGGCGGCGGCGGCGGCTCGTCCGGCTTGAGGAAGACCTGCTGGCCCCGCCTGAGGAATTGGACAACAGCGATGAGGATGTGGTGCAGCACCAGGACCATGCTCGCAGCTGCCCGCCCGCCCGCCGGCCCGGCCGCTGCGCTCGGTCGGCGCGTCCGCGGCCGCCTCGCCGGGTCCGCGCTCCGTCCTCCCGGCCCCGCCCCGGCCCGCCCTCTCCCCGCCCCCGCCGCCCGCCCCGCCCACACCCCCGCCACCCTGGACAGCACCTCCCGGCTCCGCCGGGCTTCGGACACCACCACCCCGACCCCCCGCCAGCTCTCCCCATCCCCCACCTCTCCGCCCCCAAGTCTTCCGGACTCGAGACCCCGCCAGGGAGTCGGCTCCCAGCCTGCGCTCCCGGCTCCGGTCCCTTTGCCGCTCCTTTCGCCTCCCGGAGCCCCGGTCCTCTCCGCTCACATCCTCTTCCCCGCCGCCTGGGAAGTCCCGGAGCCAGACCAGCGCCCCAGGGCAAAGCGCAGGGAAGGGTAGTGCGGGGGACCCGGCGGGGGGGGGGGGGAAAGGGTTAGGAGGGGAAGAAGCGGGTAAAAGAGAGGGGAAGGGGCCCTCGCTGATAAATTACAGGGAGCCCGAGCTTGCTCCTCTTCCAGGAAAAAAAAAATGGTGAAGTCAGGGAGAATTTTGGAGGATGCGCTAAGACGCACAGACCCTGGAGCGGTAGCAAATCTGTGGAGGGGACACGTGCGCACAGACACGGACGCACACACCGGCAGACACACCGCTCCTGAGAGGGGGGTAGGAGCCCTGGAACCCCAGCACCCGGCGTGCCGGTCTGCAGCGGCGTCCTCCGCAGCCAGAGAGGCTGCAGGCCCCGGGGCACGCGGTCCGCAGTTGGGCGCTGGGACCCGCGCGCGCTCGCTCGCGGAGCGCACCTCTCCGCAGAGCCTCTGCACCGGGCGCCTGCGGCAGCCGCGGCGCTCCTGCGCCCCCTGCTGGCCCACCGCGGCGGCGCAGCCGGGCCGTACTTGGCGGTCAGCCTGGCTGGGAGGATGGGATACGAGGTCACCCGGGCTAGCTCTCTCTGCCCCAGCCCACCCGGTTCCTATCCTTCGCTTTGGCATGAGATCAGCTGCGGCGGTGAGACGTGTCTGGACTAGAGGATGCATTTGGGTCTTTCCAGGCCTTTGCCAACAACTTGCTGCATGACCTTGGTGAGACTCCCCGCTCCCGGATTTCTGGGCCTCCGTTTTCTCATCTTGACAAGACTGCCAGAAGAATCAACGCCGATAATGGCGGAAGGACAGCCAGAGTCCTGACAGCCCTCGCTGTGGTCTGACCCGAATCTTTCCCACTGCACTGTGGGTGTGGGTCCCCCTCTCTGCGTCTCTCTCCTCCCCCCTTGGCAGGTGACTCAGTGAGCCCCCAGCCTCCCAGCCTGCCCACCTCACTGGGCTGATTCATCGGGGCCCTTTCTCCCAGGGGAGTGATTTCATTCATGTTGAGTCACTGGGGCCAGTCCTCCAGGACTCAGTCCAGGCACCTGGCACCCAGGCTGTGCCACCAGCCCAGGGGAAGGCCCTTCGTGCCAGGATCCCCCCACCTCTCTCTCTGGGGCTCAGCTCGGGGCGTGCTTCCTTCCCGGCTCACACACCTGAGTGATGCCCTCCCACCAGCACAGTACAGCCTAGCCCCTCCACCTGCCGTGGCAGAGCCTGTCACTCAGCCCTGGCTTGTTTCGCCAGCTTTGGCCCTTTCCCCACCATTCCTTAAATTTACACTTCCTGTTCTTTTCAGACGGATGAATGACTCATTCTCACCTTCAAGCCTTTCCCCATGCCAACCCCCCCCCCCCCACTGCCCCCAGCGCCCTCCAGATCCTGTTAATGTGCTTATCGTCAGGGGCACTGCAGAGTGCCTCCTCCACCCCCCACTCCCCTCAGGAGGCTACCTTAGTCCTCCGGGGTCCCCTTTGTGTCTTTGCTGGGAGTCATGTCTGGGGGTGTGGGGAGGGGGAGGGAACATCTCTATCCCGGAGTGATCCAGGCCAAGTCAATGTATTTTACTGCATCTTCAAACTGGGGGCAATTTGTCCTACTTATTAACACTGTAAAAAAAACATGACATGGACTAAGATGTGTAGAGGTTCTGGCCCAGAAAAGGCCCTCCTTTGCCCCTTTTGGCCTCAGTTTCCTGCTCTGTTAAAAGAGTGACTGATGTAAGGCTATTGTAAGAAGTGAGTCTGGACCCAGTGCACAAACCTGTTGGCAAATCCCGGGCGCCTGTCACCAGGTCGGGGTGAGACTCTGGATGCCCTCGGTGGGACACAGGCACCCAGAGAGTATCTGCTACCACCACTGGCCAGAGCTTTTGTTCCTCAGGGGCAGCCAGCCATCTCAGACCCACAGCCAGGAGCCAGCCCTGGCCTGGCACAGCTACCATCTGCTGGGCTCTCAGTCCTAGGCAGGACCTCCACACACTCACCTTTTTAAAAAATATATGTATTTTTATTGATTTCAGAGAGGAATGGAGAGGGAGAGAGAGATAGAAACATCAAGGATGAGAAGAACCATTGACCAGCTGCCTCCTGCATGGCCCCCACCAGGGATGGAGCCTGCTACCAGGGCCTGTGCCCCTCCTGGGAACCGAACCATGACCTCCTGGTTCATAGGTCGACGCTCAACTACTGAGCCATGCCGGCTGAGCAGCACTCACCTTTTGAGAAGTTATTTCTGAAATCTTACTTGGTCTCTCATACCTCAGCTCACTAGCCGGGGCCCCAAGAACACCTGTGTCTCTCTCAACTCGGAGAGATTTGCATTGTGTCCATCATTTTCAGTGGTTCTCAACCTTTCTAATGCCTCTACCCTTTAATACAGCTCCTCACGTTGTGGTGACCCCACAGGTTGAGAACCGCTAGCAGAGTCGCCTAAGACCATCGGAAAACACAGATATTTACATTACGATTCATTAACAGTAGCAACATTACAGTTATGAAGTAGCGGGGAAAATAATCTTATGGTTGGGGGTCACCACACCATGAGGAACTGTATCATAGGGTCGCGGCATTAGGAAGGCTGAGAACCACTGCGTTAGATGCAGGCATTCCTCAGCGGGTTCGAGTCCTAACGCTGCCATAGACGTGCTGTGTGACTGGACAGGCCACTGCACTCCTGTGGGCCTCGCTTTCCTCGTCTGTGAAATGGTTCGAAACACTAGATTCAGTAAACAAGCTGCTTTCTTTTGATGCTTGGCAGGATACAGAGTCCTTTCGCAAAGATCCCCTCCGTGTAATCCTTGAAATTCTCCAACCAGCTCCCTCCCAGAAGAGGCACCGAGGCTCCTCCAGGTGGCAAGTGGCAAGCCTTGCTGAGCTCTCACAGCCAGAAAGTGATCCTTGCTCCATGCCCCGAGCCTACATCCTGTGATTCTGGGCTGGGTTCTCATGCCGGGGCCACCCCCCGCCACCACCACCACCAATGCCAGATATTTTTAAATGCTCCCAGGTTTACAAACCCTGGATTAGATGCATCTTGGCCAACGTGACCAGACGTCCAGCTTTTGGCGGGACAGTCCCGATTTTTAACAATTGGTCCCGCCACCATCACCACCAATACCAGATATTTTTAAATGCTCCCAGGTTTACAAACCCTGGATTAGATGCATTTTGGCCAAGGTGACCAGACGTCCAGCTTTTGGCGGGACAGTCCCGATTTTTAACAATTTGTCCCGCGTCCCGCGGTGTTTTTAAAAAGTCCCGAGCGGGACGTCTGGTCACCTTAACCTTGGCTGATCTCAGTACCATGAAATGAAGGGTCAGGGATGGCCTACCTCGGGCTTGGGGCTCTGTGTCTGAGGGGCTTTAACATTTATTAAACACTTGCTGTGTACCTCACATTTCATCTTCTCAACAACAGGATAAGGTAGGATCTATGATTAGCCAGCCATATCTTGCACGTAAGGAAAACTGAGGCGCAGGATGACTGAGGAACGTGCCCATAGTCACACAGCTGAGAGTAGGAAGCCAAAATTCAAGTCCAGGTGATGAGGCTTAAATGTGTGCCTTGGATTCACGCCCCACCCCATCAGGAAGGGCCTGTGAGAATTTCTCCACTTCTCCTTTTGTCCCCAGCAGTCCAGTCACTGAGCCCCGGGGTGGCTGGCCCAGGCCCTCTCGCCCCCCTTTCTGTCTCCCTACCTTACAGGCCACTCTAAGGTACCCAGTGGCCCAGCTCCCTCAGGGTAGGTTCTTTCAGAAAAGGTGACTCAGCCAAGAGTCCGGATAATGGGCCACTTGACCTCCGGCCCTGTCCAGGGGCCGGCCCGCCCTTGTTCCTAATCACGGCACCTCTGCCGGCACTTCCTCCCCCAGGATTGGGTGAGCAGGCTTTCCCCCTTACCATCGCTCCACCTGAGACCACGGAACCAGCAGGCCCTCAATACACCACAAATCTGCTCCCATCCCCAAGACCATGTGTCCTGCTTCTGTACGACTGTCTGGTGTCTGGCATGCATCTATCCTGTTGCTGCTAACCATGGTCAGACTTCCAGAACCCCCAGTTCAAACCTAGCCCTGCCCTGACATGCTGGGTGGCCTCGGGCAAGGCTCTGGCCCTCTCTGGTCTCAGACTTCTCAGCAGCTGTGAAGGTTGGCCTGGTTCTCTTTGAGGGCTCAGGCAGCTCAGGTGGAGGGAGGCAGGGCCCAGGTAGGCCTAGGTGGGCAGAAGGCAGCTCTCCTGGCAGGCAGGCTCACCAGGCCCAAAGACTGAGGAAGGACCAGATCCCAATACAGGAAGCTCCTTAGGAGAGAGTGTGTGTGACTCAGTCTCTCCATGGCTTAGAGTGGACCCCATGGACTACAGAGGGCTCCACCCTCCGAGGGGGCCTGCAAGGGGACAATCCAAGAAGCATCCTGAGGACCCGACATCTCTGTGGGTTTGTGTCCATCCAGAGCCTTCCCTCAGCACTTTAGCTCTGAAGAGGCCATGGGTGCAAACTACCCTTAGGTATCTGTGTGGGGAGTGAATGTGTGAGTGTGTGTGTGTGTGTGTGTGTGT